TAAAAAAGACTGGACATACCCCATTTGCAATACCTTGGGTTGTCTACTATTGCAAATGGTATGCCATTATGGGTGTAAATTTCATTCCTGGGCTACTATACAGTCTCAAAGGCAACGTAACCAATCTGGCGAATTTCAATTTCAAATGTAACGTGCTATATTTGACCCTGTAACTTCCCAAAACGCCATAAAACCTGTACATAGGGGGTACTGTCTTACACGTGAGACTTTACTAAATACAAATATGTGTATTTTATTGCAGTAAAATCAAACAGTATTATGACACTGACCTTTAAAATGCAATTTAGAACTAAAAAAATCAAAAAAATCGTATTTTCTCCCATTTTTTTCATATTAAATTATGTTTCATAGCTAAATATTTGATATTAAATGAAAGCCCTGTTTCCCCTGAATAAAATGATATATAATAAGGGTGGGTGCATTTACTATGAAAGAGGTGTATTACGGTTGGACAGACATGTAGCGCAAATGCCAGGTTTTGTTTACATTTTGTTTTGTTCACAATGTGTACATTTGGCTCCGTCCTTAAGGGGTTAATGACGTCCTAAGAGACTTTATTCACACATTTGTAATTGTATACTTGGACGACATATTGATATATTCTACAAATTTACACACTCACCACAGACATGTCACAACGGTATTGAAGAACTTTCTTAATAATGGTCTTTACTGTAAACTAGAAAAATGTTTATTTGACCAATCCGAAGTCCAGTTCTTGGGGTATTTGATTTCCGCCAAAGGGTTTCGTATGGATCCCCAGAAGCTTTCTGCGGTCATAGAGTGGCCTCTACCACAGGGTTTGAAAGCAATTCAACATTTTCTTGGTTTCTCTAACTATTATAGACGCTTTATTAAGGGTTTTTCTTCTATTGTAGCACCTATCACCCGTATGACAAAAAAGGGTGGTAATACTCGTGTCTGGTCTCCCGAGGCACTTCAGGCTTTCGACTTTCTTAAAACTACATTCGCCTCGGCACCTATTTTACAGCACCCTATCCCCTCACTGCCTTATATTCTTGAAGTTGATGCTTCTGAAATCGGGGTAGGTGCTGTTTTGTCCCAAAGAGAATCGCCTGAAAAGCCATTGCATCCTTGTGGCTTCTTTTCTAGACAAATGTCCAAAGCTGAAAGGAATTATGATGTGGGTAATCGTGAACTCCTTGCTATTATCTTAGCCCTTAAAGAATGGAGACATCTGTTAGAAGGAACTAAGGATCCTATTCTAATTTTTACAGATCACAAGAATCTATCCTACCTTGGTGAAGCTAAAAGATTATCTTCTAGGCAGGCCAGATGGTCACTATTTTTGTCCCGTTTCAATTATATTATCACCTATAGGCCAGGTGATCGCAACATTAAAGCAGATGCTCTGTCCAGACAGTTCGAAACTACTGACAAACAGGAGGTTGATGTTACTCCTGTCATTCCCCCAGACAGGATAATAGCACTACTATGTTGTCTATTTCTTCATCCCTCTTGCAGACCATACAGGCGAAACAAAGTATGGCACCTAGCGAGAGGCCTATTGATAAATTGTTTGTTGATGTTCCCGAGAGACGGGAGATTCTGTCATTATATCATGATACTAAGACTGCTGGACATCCTGGTATTACCAAAACGATGTCAGCAGTTTCTCGATATTTTTGGTGGGGTTCCTTACGCAAGGATGTCACTGACTATATAAGTGCTTGTACTACTTGTGCATGTATGAAAACGTCTCGTAGAGTTCCTTGTGGGCTTCTGCATCCCTTACCAGTTCCCGAGAGACCTTGGTCTAACCTATCCATGGATTTTATTGTTGAATTACCCCCTTCAAATGGTAACACAGTCATCCTGATGATAGTAGATCGGTTTTCCAAGATGGCTCACTTTGTATCTCTTCGCAAGTTGCCCACATCCAAGGAACTGGCTCTTATCTTCGCTAGAGAAGTATTTCGGTTACATGGTATTCCTGTATCTATCGTGTCCGATAGGGGTAGTCAATTTATTTCCAGGTTCTGGAAGGCCTTTTGCTCAGAAATTGATATTTCTCTCTCATTTTCTTCCGCTTACCATCCCCAGTCTAATGGAGCTGCCGAACGTGCCAACCAGTCTCTGGAGCAGTACCTTCGTTGTTTTGTGTCTCACCATCAGGACAATTGGTCTGACCTACTTCCTTGAGCTGAGTTTGCTCGAAATAATGCCACTCATGATTCTTCCGGCAAAAGCCCTTTTTACGTTGTCTATGGCCAGCATCCCGTTTGAGCATTTGGCTGGTTTGCGTAATACTTGGGGGCAGGTTCAGCGTTCTTTGGTGGATTCCGCTGCTCGCCAGAAGGCTCAGGCTGACAAGCATCGCGGGGCGGCTCCTACTTATGTTGTTGGGGACAGGGTTTTGCTTTCTACGCGGAATATTCGCCTGCGGGTGCCTTCTATGAAATTGGCTCCCCGCTTCATAGGTCCTTATCGTATACTGCATAAGGTTAATCCTGTTTCATACACCTTGGGTCTTCCTAGGAATCTGCGTATTCCTAATGTGTTTCACACCTCGTTGTTGAAGCCTTACGTACGCAACCGCTATACCCGGCATTCTCCCCCTCCTGTCTCCGTGGAGGGTCATGAGGAATTCGAAGTCTCTGCTGTTCTTGACTCTCGTTACCTTAGGGGTCGACTTCAGTACTTGGTGCATTGGAAGGGTTATGGGCCTGAGGAGCGCAGTTGGATTTCAGCTGATGCTGTTCACACTCCCCGCCTTGTGCGTTCTTACCATTCTCGTTTTCCTGCCAGGCCTGGCCCTACCCGCCCGGAGGGCGTGTCCTCAGGGGGGGGGTACTGTAGCGTTACTCACCTTATCCAGGGGCCGGCCGCGGTCCTCTCTTCAAGCCGCGCGCAGTCCTGCTGCTGCACGAGCCGCGCGCGGCTCATCCGACAGCTCCACTAGCAAGGCGGGCAGTGACCGCGAGAAGCGGTCACGTGTCCCACCTGAATCTAAGAGCGCGCCGCGAGTCTCGGGCGCGCTCTTAAAGAGACAGTGTGAGCCTAAATTGTCAAAAGGCTCCCATTGGCCCCTGTCATACCACACTCCCCATACACTTACCTTTTGGGGGTGTGGATATGACAGGAGCCAATCACATTAGTTTGGAAGCTATTTAAACTTACCTCTCCCTTTACTCCCTGCCCTATCGTGGTTTCTGTATCAGTTCCCTTTAGCGCTTGTTGTGTTCAGTTGTGTTTCTCCGTTTTGACTTTGGCTTTGTCTCTGACTACGTTTTCTCTTTATCCTTATCTGTTCTGGTTGTCGGCTTGCTGTTTACTGTGTACCAGACCCCGGCTTGTCCTAGTTTACGCTGTCTCTCTGTGCCCTTGATTTCGGATCGTTCCTGACTCTGTCTCCTCTCATTTACGTCGAGTCCGGCCATTTTAAGGTCCGGTAGACGTATCTCTCCTCTGTGTTGTCTTCTGTTTAGCTGAATCCTGTGTGTTGGGGTATATTCTCGTTACACAGACACAATCACTGACTCTTTGACATACACACAATGACGCAGACACACATTCACTGACACTCACTTACAGACGCACACAATCACTCGGATACATAGGCACCCTCACTGACACAATCACTCAGAAACAAACACATTCACTGACAGCCAGTGGTGTATCCTGGTTTTGTGCTGTCCTAGGCAGGACAAAACTCAGGCACCTCCCTCCCCCCCCCCCGCGCGCCACCTCCACCCAACCCTTCACCCCTGCTCCGCCTTCTCAATACACACACATTCACTGACAGATATGCATTCACTAGCTAACAGACACACACACTAACAGGCAAACACACACACACACACACACACACACTAACATACTCACTTGTGGTTTTTTTATTTTGCTTTGTTTTTTTAACCCCCCCCAGCCTCCTTACCTTTGGGAATGCTGGGGGGGTTCTTCCTCTCCTTGGGGTGCAGTGGCTGCTGGGCGGGTGGCTGGTGAGGGAGCACTTCCCCTGAGTGCTCTGCTCAGCTCCCTCGCGCGCCACCCGCAGAGTGAGGCTGGGAGCCGGAATATGAGGCTAACAAGGCATTTGCCCTGGGCATTTGGGGGCGGCTTTTTTTTGCCGCCCCCTGAAAAATGCCGCCCAAGGCAAATGCATTGTTTGCCTCGTGGCTAAAACGTCCCTGCAGACAGCTACATAGTGACAGACATACACACAATCACTCAGACACTGACAGACATACACACACACACACACACAATCACTGGCAGCCAGACACACACAATTACTCAGACAGACACTGACAGCCAGACACACACAGAGCTAGACAACCACCCCCCCCCCCAACATTAATTAATAAAGATTAAATTTCTATTTTAGTTTAAATCCCACAGCCTCCATATTTTTGGAAGAGCTGGGTGGATTTTTTTTATACATGGGGTCCAGTGGGCCTTCTTGCAGGGAGGGAGGCTGGCATGCAGGCACTTGGGCGGCTAATTGTAATCCAGGCGCGGCGCCAAAGCATTGATTTGTGAGCTGTCTCTGCTCAGCTCCCTCTCGCGCCGCAGAGTGATGCCGGGAATATGACGTCATATTCCGGCTCCTTGCATCACTCTGCGGCACGTGAGGGAACTGAGCAGAGAGAGCTCACAAATCAGTGCTCCCTCGTGTGTGCCTGGATTTTTAGTAACCCGAATGCTGCCAGGCTATCAAGGTATTTGCCTGGGCATTTGGCGGCGGCGTTTTTTGCCGCCCGCTGAAAAGTGCCGCCCAAGGTAAATGCCTTGTTTGCCTCACGGCAAATACGTCCCTGATGCCAGGGTAGGGTTACACTACAGGAGGGAATCTTGTGATATACAATTATTTATGTAGTACAGTGATTACAGTTTCTGGTAACTCATAAACTGAAACGGTTTCACAAAATGGCAGACACCTATCAGTTTTGATTGACATTGTAAACCTAGACAAGGACCTACCATGTGACCTGGAGAGAGAGGGCTCTGGACAGACAAAATAATTCTCTCAATGTATTGGGATTCCATCCATATTTCCATGAATTCTTCCCAGATATTAATTTGGAAAGTACTTAACTGGAAATTCTCACAGAGAAACAGGATTGCTAATTCTTTTTGGTTTCTTGAATTTTGTTTCTGAATTGTGTACGCACTGTTTATTTTTAGAGGTCTCTTATGTCCAATTGTTTTATTAGGTTATTTTTACATGTCTCTTAGGTCTAAATATTTTATTAAGGAGCATTCGTTATTTATTACAGAAATATTTACTTAGAGCATGGGTCGTCAACCTGGTCCCTACCGCCCACTGGTGGGCGTTTCGGAATTCCAGGTGGGCGGTAGGGACTTTGGAGGTTAAAACCTTCTTATGAGCGAGCGCGAGCGGGCGCATACATCATGAAACCAACGTGCGCGAGAATGCGTGCGGTAGGATTTTAAAACCTCCTTTTGAGCGAGTGGGCGGGCGGCGTAGGCGCGAGCGCGCACATCAATCAACCTTTTATGCGAGGTGGGGTCGGGAGGGAGGGAGCGCACGCAAACACGTGGGAAGAGGAAGGGGAGGAGTGGAAACTCATAGCAGGGCAATGCAGAAGCAGGCAGAAACGGAGCAGAGCAGTTGCAAAAGAAAAGTTATAGGCAGGAGAAAGAGAATTGTTGGCTAATAATAATAAGTGGGCTAACTAACTCAGCCTTACTTTTGTACCTCAGGAAGGTAAAAGAAAGGAGATAAAAAGGAAAAGAAAAAAAAAAAAAAAAATTAACAAAAAAAGGGAAGAAAAATAGAGAAAAGGGGATAAAATAAAGGAGGAGAGTAAGCAGTGTTTAGTCTGGCTCATAAATTAAGTTTTGTTATCTTATAAAATAAAAGAAAAAAATAAGTAAGGGAAGGAGAAAATAAAAAAAAGGAAAAATAGATCCTTAATATAGTGATATACTATAAGGAAGGTAAAGAAGCAGGCAGGAAAAGGAATTTCTTTTGATGGTGACATTAATAAAAATTGGCACCTAATACAGCATTGTTTTTGGTGTTAGTAATAAAAGGGAAAAGAGGAAAAGAGGAGGGAAAAAAGCACTGTGTGGAGTGCAGATCAAAACGTAAGAGTAAAAGTAGTTGTTAAATTGTGAAACAAATTTATAACCCATGTCTGAAAAAAAGAAATATGCTCGTGGCTATTTACCAGAGTATCTGAAGATGGGTTTCATTGAATCTGTTACAAATAAACAGCTTCCAATGTGTTTACTGTGCCACAAGACATTATCTAATGAAGCAATGAAGCCAAGTCGATTGCGAGAACATCTTACTACAAAGCATTCGCAAGATAAAGATAAGCCCATTGAATATTTTCAAGAAATCTATAAAAGATTTCAAAATCGTTCAACAATAGCTACATCCTTTCAAAAACAACATGCAAAGAATGAGGATGGATTAACTGCAGCTTATCGTATATCACACTTAATTGCAAAAAGTGGTAAAAGCCATAATATTGGAGAAACTTTGATAATACCCTCTATCAAAGAATTTATCTCAACAGTAATGCATCAGGATATACCTGAAGTTTTAAAAACATTACCCCTTAGCGATAACACAGTAAAGAGACGCATTGATGAAATGGCGGCTAATGTTGAAAATAAACTTATAGGTATTCTCCAAAATTCGTCATTTTCTATACAATTGGATGAGTCTGTCATTGCAGATAATAATGCTCTACTGATGACATATGTACGGTACCTTGATGAAAACAATACATTGCAAGAAGAAATGCTATTCACTGTCAATCTGATTACAGATACAAACAGATTATCAATATTTAATGCTGTGAAATCATACTTTGCAAAAAACAATATACCCTTGAACAATATTGTTGCATGTGCTACTAATGGAGCACCATCAATGGTAGACCGCTATCGTGGGTTTGTTGCTTACTTGAAGGAAGAAGTGCCAAACGTTTTGTGCACAGACAACATATTGTAGGAAAACATTTAAGTACAAGTCTCCATTCAATAAGATAAAATCTAATGCCAAGTGTGATAGAATGTTTCGACAGCTGTGCCAGGACAATAACGAGCAGTTTATTAGGTTACTTTTACATACAGAAGTTCAATGGCTCTCAAATGGTACATGCTTGACTCGTTTTGTAGCATTATTTGATAGTGCCGTACAGTTTTTTGAAAGTGATAATGAGGCTGGTCTCTATGAACAGTTAAACGTAAAGAATGATGCCTTTTATTTGGCAGACATTTTCAAGAGATTTAATGAAATTGATTTGCAGCTTCAAGGAGCCAATATTACTCTTATAAGTTGCAAAAATATTGTGTCATTATTTATCAAAAAAGCTTGATCTTCTCCGTCATAATATTTTCAAGAGAGAATTTCATCAGTTTCCTGAATTGTCCTCTATAAACAATGATGTAACTCCGGGGGATATTGAAAGGTTCAGTAGCCACCTCAAGGAACTCAAAATGGATATGGAAAAACGATTTCAAGATATTTTGAACTTAAAGGTGCATGACTGGATGATAAATCCTTTTACAGCAAATGTTGCTGAAGTTGATATAATTTGCCAAGAAGAACTATTAGAACTTAAATATGACAAAGAGTAAATGTAATTTTGGCAGTGGTGGATACCAAAAACTCTGGCAAAATAAAAAAATGCCTGCGTTATATCCAAATATGTGGAAAATGATGTTCAATTTATTGATACCTTTCCCTACCACATATCTTGTAGAATCAGGCTTTAGTGCTGTTAATCATATTATGAGCAAACAGAGAAACCGTCTGAATATCACCGAAAGAGGAGACCTTCGTTTGTTCCTTACAAAAATCGAACCAGATTTCAAATATTTAGTCTCGCAGCATCAGCCTCAAGGATCTCACTAGTAAAGCTTTCAATTTACTTTGTTTTCTAATTAAACTTTATAAAGTTAAAAACACTATAAACATGAATAAAGTAGAAATAAAAAGATAAATGTACGTACATTTTTTTTTTAAAAACACCCTCCTTTCTAAAAAATATTCCGCGCTTGCGCGAAAACTGGTGGGCGGTAAGGAAATTTTTCCATCAAGAAAGATGCATTAGTGGGCGGTAGGTAGAAAAAGGTTGACTACCACTGACTTAGAGGAACATTGTAGTGTTATGAATTTAAACCTGTATTCTTTACACTACAAGGAACACTTGCTGGAGTAAAGTTTTAGGTGACCGGCTGCCCTCTCTGTGGCGTTACAAGACAATTTAATTACCCTATCTTCATTGCCCCGCCAGTCTCATGGCAGCTGACCCCATCTCAATGGCTGAGATCAATCTTGAAGATCTCATCCAATCCAATGCATTCCTATAGAAATGTAAGCCTTTCAGTGCCAATGCACAGCAAAACAGTGCCAGTCCGTATCTCCTCATAGAGATGCTATGGGGAGCGTTTAGTGTCTCTATGCAATGCACACAGTGAAGCACTGAAATAGGAAGCACCTTTAGTACCCGTCTGAGTGACTGCCACTAGAGGTGCTGCAGGTCCAAGGCAGCAATGTAAACACTCAGAGAAAAGGCAGTGTTTACATTGAAAATCAAGCAGGGACAGGCTATAGACATCAGAACTACCTTACATTATACTGGTTCTTGTGACAATATTGTCCCTTTAAGATCTGTCATGGTTTATATACAGTTAAAGTGAATACACCTATAACATACCCTGGGTTAATTTAAGGGGTAAGTTAAAATGCCCAGATAAAGTATTTGTGGAGGCAGCAGATTTACAATAAATTGAAGTGGTGCGCGGATAAGCAGGATTTCATTGTCCAAAACTGCTGTTGAAAAAGCAGTCACATTCAATGATTCGAGATGGACAAATCAGGCTGATCTGTATAGATCTCTTGGACAAAAAAAAAAATGTAAGTAAAATTGAATTATCAGGCTATGTACCAAGAGTGTTTTTGGGTACTGCAAATTCTCAGTATTTTGTTAAACCACCTGACAACGGTTGGATTAAAAATAATGAGAATTCATCCACAGCCCTCTAGCACCACAACAACAAAATGCTGTAGTTGTTATGGTGCTAAGCAATCTTATTTCTAGGGAAAATCTGTATGAATTAGGTGTTAATGCTTATTTTGACAACATTCAGTAAATTGATACAATGGTGAGCTTTTTTTTTCCCCGTCCAAACCATGTGTTTGTATAATACACAGTCTTTGGGTTCCTCACAGAAACAGCATTAAGACAATTTATTCACTTGATTACAAATATGTAGTATAAGTAATAACAAACCTAAGTTAAGATAAAACAAAACAATTTATAGAAAACAAAACAGACACTTTCTTTATAACTTAGCTTTTAATTCATTTGTTCAATGGTTTTATATTACAGGTGGATCAAAAATGAAAACACAATTTTTTTTGTTTTTCACCAACCCCCACCCCCCCACCCCAAAAGAAATCACCTTAACCATACAAAACTGGGCAGTAGATTGGACCACTCTGATGTACCATTATAGAGATAGTTAGGCCTATTCAATATTTTCCAGCTACGCTGTTTCCAAGTAATGCAGATTTTGACATGGATTAGCAACCTGTGGCTTTCTACCTGTAAGCTCGAACCCAGGTGCTCAGCCATCTTGATAATGGCGGATTTCATAGTAGCTGGAGTACCGATTGCTGCAAAGTTCTAGATTAAACTCATGGCACCAAATTCGAAAGACACCAATACATAAGTCAATTTATCTTCAGTAAAAAACCAAAACACACACAAAACAAAAAACAAAAATGTATCAAAGCTTGAATAGAAGAATTACTCAGTTATGTGATTAAGCCTAGTATTGATAGATGATGCAATGCATTCTCATTACTTTGGGTTTATGGACAATTATCTTTTCCGTACAAAAGGGGTCTTGCATTCATCATAAAGCATACAGTACAATATAAGAAAGAAAGAGATAAGAGACCGCAAAACACACAACTTTTGCTTTCAGTGAAGTAAACAGGAGCTCACATGAAAGTAGAGACATTTTAATTTTTAAAATTTTTGTCCAATGTAAAATGCTTGAATGCTTTTGTCACATGTTTGGCTTTAGAACATAATGGAGGTTCTATAATGTGATTTAGTACTGTCGATCAGTCAATATAAATTTATGTTTGAAAATGTGAATAGTCTTTTAAAGCATAGACTTTCTCTAACCTGCATGATCATATAATACAATGTAGATGCAGTTCTTCGTGATTTGGTTGCAAATAGTGTGTTAGAATTTTCAGACTAAATTGCAGAATAGTGTGTTCATTTGATGTGCAATTATTATTTATTTTTCAATGGGGATAACTATTGATTTTACGTTGTACAGATTCTTGCTATTCTGTCTGAAGACCTATCACTATTTTGTTGCATACTTAAGCTTAGAAAGCAGACATGGATTAAATAACCAGGCTTATCAACACTTCTCATTTACATGTGCACAAATTGAATTCGCAATTCTTTCCGTTTATCGGTCATACAGCTTTGATTAAGTACTGTATCACTACAGTGGAAAGAAACCGTTCCTTTAAATCACAAGGTTATTGAACCAAAACATTTCGAAATAATAGTTTCATGATGTAACACCATTCTTACGCTTAAATATATGGTTTCATGAAGTTAAAGAATTTAAAGGGCCTCAACAAAATCACCTCAAAATGTTGGTTGCTTTACAAAAGATATGGTAACTTTTGGCAAACAAGCCGTTATGGACGGTCTTTCTTATGATCCTCAGACAGCTCTATGGGTGAGTGTTATTACTGAACGTGTAGTTCAAAAACGCAAAATTACAAACGCAACATATACACAACCAAGATTACAAAAAGTAAACAGACGTCAACATATTGCAACCAACCCCACTGATTGCTTAATAAAACCCATCCAAATGTGCAAATTAAAGCTATGGGAAAGACTGGATTCCAATTTAAGATCATACAGCTTTTACTGGTCTTACGGACAGCAGAACCTATTCAGGTTTGTGGAAAAAGTTTTCAGATGAACATTGGTTTATAATTTCATTTGTATACTCATTCGATTGTGAAAAGTCTTTGTTTTAGTACATTTCAATACCTTTATTTTATAGTCCGATATCATGCACAGGACAGTAGCAGCTTGCAAATGTGTGTTTGTGTGGCCATGTATGATCTTGCCTATGTATGCACATTTGTATTTACCAGTACTACAAATACTCTTGATAATTCTTCATTTAATGCTTGGATGTTTAACACAAAATGTTGTATTTATCTTATTATTATGAAATCAACACATGTTTAAATTACAAGCCAGATTGAAGCCCGTGTAGCTGTAAATATGAGAAGAGTGTATTTCACCCTGGCGTCTTGGACCTGTTTGAGTCAGTGAAAAGAGTTTATAATACCCTGCTGGCAGGAAAAACTCGCTGCTGTTCAGTCAGCCAACCTGAGTTGTAGTTCAAGTGAATAAATAGGGAGATATTGGAAACATCTCAGCAGTTACGCTCATTGGATTAGTCACTGGTGGTGGAGGATCCAAGAAGCACTCTCATATCGCTTTTAGTCTTTCCGATTTTCACCGATTACAAAGTGCAATCTATAATACAAGAAGTTACCAGCTCCCGTAGCAAAGGACAGAAACACCCAGAAACAAGATGCTTTGATCTCCAACAAACTACCAATGGAATCTTCAAAAGGAGAGCTGGGTGCGTTACACAGAGCTTCTAGCTAATTCTATATATCAGTTTAAATTAAATGTATTTTTCCCTGCATTCCCTAGAATAATTTTTTTCCAAAAAGTTCAAAAAATTAAAAAAAAAAATCCATTCTCCCCTGCGGAAAACATCTGGCTGTTACATATATTTGGTTGCAGTAGCTTTAGCTTTGTCCATTGAAATATTTTTCTTTTTTTAATTTACGTTTTGTGTACATTTATATTTATTAGGCACAAAGGAATTCGGGAGAGGGAAATTAGGTTAGCTCTAGATATTAAGCAGGTCCTCGTCACTGTCATCATGAAAAGAAGCTACGTTCACGCTGTCTTTTTTACTATGGTTGGACCTGCCTTTTCCCGTCTTTCGATTAACACCGTTTGACACGCCAATCATGTTATCATCACTCCCAGAACCGAAATGGCTCTTTGACCGGCTAGCATTCGCCTCTTTCATTCTGGCCGAATGAATTCGGACTTCCGGCATGGTGAGAACTTCGTCTTCACTGTCAAGATCATCCACATGTAGTGATGTGAAGGTTCCAGGTGCGGCATGTCTGATGCTGCCATTTTCATGGTGTGATTTTGTGTGGTTCATAGACACTTCTTCTATGAGCCATTCCGTCTCGTTGCCATCAGCTTCTTCTTCTGTATTAATCTACGTGAAAAAAGGACGCAAGAAATATATTAAAAAATATGAAAATATTCACCTAATTAGTGAGCTATACAATACGGTGCTTCTTGTTAGGATCTGAGGTTTACTAGATATTTGTAGGCAGCATATTTAATGTCTCTAGATGAAGAAAACAAAAACACCATGCTCCAGCAGAGTACGCAAATCATTGCAGTTTTATTAGTATTAACAACCTTGACATGAGGAACTGCACCACATGGGGGAGCCAAAGCCTAACACATTTTAGACCCAAATGCCTTTGGTCATAGGAATACGCATACTAATTACACACACCTTTATGTACCCAAGACCCATATACCCCACCGTGGATGTCAAACTCGTCTCTTACGAGACACAGGCTCAAAATTGCAGACAATATACAAAAAAAAAAAAAAGGGAAAAGAAAGAAAAAAATATATATTTACACAGAAATAAACAATAAGTTCATATTAGAGTATAAATATACAAAAGGTATATATAAAGATTAGTGATGTCCCGAACTGTTTGCCGAACGGTTCGCCGCGGATTCCAGTCAGCTGACACATTCCAGCCAATCAGCAGCAGACCCTCCCTCCCAGACCCTCCCACGTCCTGGACAGCATCTATTTTGAAGCTGCATTCTTAGTGAGCATTCTTGGAGTCCGCGGCGAGCCGTTCAGCGAACAGTTCGGGACATCACTAATAAAGATACATTCAAAGTTAGAGTAAACTATTTAAGGTATTTTAATATATTATATTTAGCATATCTAAGGTTTTGCAGCGTTTCGCAATATACGAAAGCGCCTTAGCTAAGCCCCTTCATTCTATCTGTGATCCATAATGTGACGGGGTCAGTGTCTGTGAAGGAGTGTCTGTTGTACTGGGTTTATTGCATTTTGGTTTGTAATACTATGGAAATAATGGCAAACTAAAATGCAGGTTTATCTTAGAAACCAAATTTGCCTGGTATGGGGTACCTATTCTCCCACAGCCAAGTGTTGTGAGTGCACCAGGCTACGGAAATGCTGTTCAGAATAGGGACACCTGCACAGACAAATATGATTTCAAATAACCTGCATTTGAGTTTACAATTAGTACAGAGAGCATTGTAAACTGAAATGCCATCATAGTTAAAATGTTGAGATGTACTGAGATGATTCTCAGAGAAACTGGTTGAAGTTTTAGCATGCCAGCAAAAACTAGAAAGAAATATGTATTAATAAAGAATTTGTAAAAATTTTAGTTCATCCAGAACTTGCTAAATTTGCTGAAAACGCTTCATATCACCCTGGAGTGTTCCTTTAAGACGTCCTTTGATGGAAGTATCCATATCCACATTTTACCGACCAATAGCAAAAGAGTACAAAAACATGATCAGAGATCCTGGATAAGATTATGATCAGTTGCTTGTTGAAAGATTACCTTGCTGTATTTGTAGGACACATTAGAGCTTCTTCGACAGCAGTTTGATATCTTGTACATCACAGTTTCCCTGAAAACAAAACATACAAAAAAAGTTAAACCAAATGAAGAAAAAACAAAATGACATGTTTTAGCATTAAAAAGTTATCTTGGTGCTTGGATTAATAAAT